AAAAAAAAAAAAAAATTTAAAAAAAAAAAAAAAAAAAAAAAAAAAAAAAGCCACTAGCCAAATCATTGAAAATTTTTTAGCCCGGGCACTACAGAAACTTTAAGCTGGTTCTTACTTGTTGTGGGAGATGTCTTACGCATCTTAGCCTCCCATCAGTATATACAAATAGCATTATTGCTCTAGCAGTTTCAATCAAATCACACAACTGCCACATAGCCTTGATGCACACTAACCCTACTGAGAATCATGGCTCTTAGAAGCAATCAAAAAGAACACAGGGGAAACATCTGTGCTGGGGCTCTGCCACATGAGACCAAGCAGGCATCTACTCAAACCAGTCCCCCACCCCATTCACCCTCTGCTCCCCAGGAGAGTAAGGCCCTCCATAGGGGATCCCCAAAGTTTGTCATACCATTCTCTGCAGGGCCTAGGCCCTCCCCCATGTGTCCAGGCCGAGAGAGTATCCCTCCACGTGGAATGGGCTCCCAAAGTCCTTTCTTACACCAGGGATAAATACTGATCTACTACCAGAGGCCCTATAGAGTGCCCAGGCCTCCCCACGTTGACATCCACGTTCAGGGGTCTGTATCAGTCCCATGCTGGCCTCCCAGACCTCAGTCTGGGGTGCATGCACTCCCCCTTGTTCATGTCAGCTGATTCTATGGGTTTCACCAACCCAGTCTTGACTTCTTTGCTCTTCACTACTCCCTCTCTGCATCTGAGTTCCAGAGTTCAGTTCAGTGTTTAGCTGTGGGTGTCTGCCTCTGCTTCCATCAGCCATTGGATGAAGGCTATCCTTAGTTCCTGATCATTTATCCAGCCTTTCTTTCCAGCATCCCCTCATTCTGTGTTTTCTTTATTGTTTCTATTTCAGCTTTCATGCCTTGAACTGTTTCAATTGCTTCCTTCACTTGTTTGGTTTTTTTCTTGGCTTCCTTTAGATTCTTTAAGAGAATTATTTATTTCTTGATTTTTTTTGTTTGTTTTTTCTTCTATTTCCTTAAGAGATTTTCTCGTTTCCTCTTTAAGGGTCTCTATCATATCATCTTAATAAAGTAGATTTTTAGGTCTCTCTCTTCTTCTTCCTCTGTGTTGTGCTTTTCAGGTCTTGTTGGTGTGGAGTCCCTAGATTCTGGTGGTGTCATATTGGTCTTTCTGTTGTTGAGTGTGTTCTTATTCTGTCGTCTTCCCATTTCTTCTTCCAGTGGGTGCAAGTGGGGTCTCACTATCTCTTCTTGTCACCTGCTGGTGTACGTGGGCCAAGACTTCAGTGTCTATAGCTCTAGATGGTCTGGCCTCTCCTCAGCAGAGGTCAGGGCGGCGGGGGAACCCTCCTTTGTAGCTTTTATGTGAGCATCCTAATGCAACGTGGAAAAGCCTTACAAGCCCAAAGTGATACTTTAGAAGACATTTCAACATGACTGCCACTCCTGTTTTTGCAACTTCAAAAAGTACGAACTATGTGCACTACCCTGGTCTGGGCAGAAAAACATCAACTGACTACATGATTAGTCTTTCCAGTTTCAAGGCCAAATGCTAGAAGATGGCCCATGCACAAAAAACATTCAGAACTAGATGTCCCCCCCATGTCCTCTCCTCAAGTCTTTTTGTCTTTCATTTCTCACAGTCCTAACACAGAGTAACCTCTGCCTTAGCCCACATCCTGTATGCTGGCTATTTTATTTTATTTTTTCAATTTGACACAAGTTAGAGTCCTCTGAGAAGAGGGAACCACAATTTAAAAAAAAAAACACATCCATCCAACTGACTTGTAGGCAAGATGGTGGGGGCATTTTCTTGATTAATGATTAATGGAGAAGGGCCCAGCCCATTGTGGACAGCTAGTCCTGGGTTGTACAAAAGTGCAAACTGGGATCAAGACAGTAAACAGTGTTCTTCACTGATCTCTGCTTCAGTTCTTGTCTCCAGGTTCCTGCCCTGCTTAAGTTCCTTGTTTAATTTCCTTTAATAATGGACTATGATCAGGACCTGTAGCCAAATAAACCCTTTCTTTCCCAAGTTGTTTTTGATCATGGTCTTCATTGCAGCAATAGAGATCAGACTAACATATCCACTAACACTGAACCATAATGTCTCAGCACATCTGGCTCGATGGTCTTACTTACTGAGAAGCAGCTGTTACAAGAAGCAGCAGTCTGTGCTGGTGCCCAGCAGTCACTCTCTTTGTGCTGATGCGACTGAGTCAATGAAATAATAAATTCTTCTAGATTTCAGCTGGACATAAATAAAGAATCCCTGTGCTGATTTTCAGATGTTCATGGCCTGAGCCCAACAAGAATATAACCCAATGACCTCTAGAGGTTCCAATGCTCTTAACTAGTTACAGAATTTAAGAATGAGGCTTATGGGAAACTAACTCCTATCCCAGAGCTGCTGCCCATTGATAGCTAAGATAGGAAGACACCATGAGAAGAGTGGAGTCTGCCCTCCATGTCTCCTAAACTGGGAGAAGAGCATCATGAATGTCTACTTGTTCCTGTTTATAGTTGGACCAGTGCTCATTTCAAATTATCCTGGCTCACAGATGGCTCTTTAGCAATACTCTTAGGTTCACCAAAAGGAACAACAGGGAGGAAAATCTTAAGCAACCCATGAGGTGACAGTTATTGTGGAAGGAGGAGGGGGCTAGAGGTACAAAATCACGCCCATTAAAGATCTCAGAATAAAAAGAGTGAAACACATCAGGAAGCACAGGTGGAAAAGGGCATGCTGGGCACATGTGAATACTAATGATCATTTCCCAAATCCTAGTGTCCTGATTCTCTGCAAAGTCCCTGGAGACAGTTATCTCACCCTCTTGAGTCTCATAGCGTCACAGTTAAGAAACCTGCCCTGGGCCGGGCAATGGGGTCACACACCTTTAATCTCAGGAGGCAGAGGCAGGCAGATCTCTGTGTGTTCGAGGCCAGTCTGATCTATAAAGCAAGTTCCAGGAGAGCCAAGGCTACACAGAGAAACCCTGTCTTGAAAAACAAACAAACAAACAAACAAACAAAAACAAAACAAACCCTGCTTGGCTACAGCAAGTGGGCCTGTTTGAAACAACATGACTAGACTTTCCCAGGTGGTCCCAGTCTTCACGGGCACCACAGCATATACCTGCACACACTTGTCTACTCAAACAGCAAAAGAGGCATCCAAAGCTCCATTTAGGAAGGAGAAATTTCCTTTAGAGAAAAGGGAGGTAACATGGGTAGAAATAGAGGCAAACATTCAGTTCTACTTGGCTGGGCTGGGGGTTTGGCCTCTGGGGCAAGTGTATACTGGAGTAAGTATGGACTTGCCCCACCCATGATACAGGTAGAAAACCAGGTAGTAGAAAAGAAGAAAGAAGACCATCTGCTCTGATCACAGGACTAGTAGTCCTTGGGTGCCAGCTAAAAAGAAATCTATACCAAGATCTATTGGGACAGTCCTGGGAAGACAGGACAAGTCTGCCTGCCTGTCCCCACTCAGGCCTGTAGGGACACCACTTGTGCAAACCCTTACTGACCCTCAGGGCTTGACTCTCACTTTCCCCAACTTTGAACAAAAGAAACTCCCTTTTCCACTGCTTCCTCTCACCAACAACTGCTGTAAAAAAAAAAAAAAAAAAAAAAAAAAAAAAAAAAAAAAAAAGCCTTAAGCACAAGATCTGGATTTATAGAGTATTTTCTACTTAGTACTGCAAGTCCTTTAAAACATTCCAGACTCCCAAACAGAAGCCTGAGTAGGGCCGTACTCACATGTGATGTGACCAGTAGTGCCACAGCTGAGGAGCCTAGGCAAAAGCAGAGCCAGGGTCAGGAATGCTGAGGACACTTACCATCTCATCCAGGGCGTAGCGCAAGAGGCCATGCTCATATAGGATGAAAAATCGTCGCTGCCACTTCTGCAACAGAGCATAGAATTGGGGGTCAGGTATCCTGGCCCTGGGTCTCAGCTAACAGAACCCCAATATCTGACACACAGAATCTAAGGAATGCTGGCTCTGAGGTTTCTACTTCTGGGGTAGATGGTAGGAGGAGAGAAACCAGAGACCTAAGTATGGTGATTCATTAGCCAGGTGGGGTCAGCGGGCCTAATTACAAATAACTAGTGCTTTGTATGCCTCATGAAGTTTTTAAAGTTGGAGCTTTCCTTGGGAGTAGGAACTGTTATGTATTCACTTTCTATGTTCCTACAGGGAGCCAGCAGAACATTTTCAAAGAATGTTTGATTATTTATTAGATGGATGATTTTATGTGATCTAGACAGCATCCCTTAGAAGACAGTCTGGGAAATGGTATAAAATGGGTTGGTCTTGTGATTTCCAAGTGACAAGAAGCAGATAGTCAAGGTTGAGGAATTCAAGAGTGGTGGAACAAGCTAACAAAAATCAAACAAGAGAAGAACCCCAAACAAAGGCCAGGCCTCCAGGGGTGTTACTATGATCAAATGCCATTGAAAGCTGGAATGAAAAGGACAAATAAACACATCATCTTTCTGTATGAAGGGTCTTGCCTACCACATGAGGCTGTGAGTCTTAATCATGACCCAGAGACAGGCATGGCTCCCACTCCAACCCCTTGGGCTGATTTCAGAAGGACTCAAGGTTTTATTCTCAACATTTCACAAAATCCAATAACATATAAATTTTGACTAACACTGAAGCTACAGAATTATGTGTTTCTTTGCTCTAGGCCAGAAAAAATTTAAAACAATTACTTTCTCATTAGGAGCGGGAAGTGCAGTTGTGAAGTTTTATTAGAGAACAGGAAAGGCACTTGGCTTCCTGGATACTGCATTCTAGCTAGAACCACTGGCCACCCATGGGAGTAAGAACAGGACTCATGGAGCTATGCAGAGAGGACCTGCTAGGGCTACTTTCAGGCTGGAGTTCCAAAACAGGCTAAGATACCTGTTTTCCAAAACCACTTCCAAGGTTCCTAGGTGTTATCTTTGAAATCAGAATCCACTCCAGAAGGAAGCCCAAGGACCAAAAACACAATGCCACTAGTTCTGTGGGCCAGAGCATGTACTCATGAGGCCCTACCTAGGTGAGGAGGGACAGGCAGAGCTCAGGCAATTGTATAAATACAACTAGGAGGAAAGTGTATGGAAAAGATGCTCTGATTAGAGCTGAATCCCCAGTGGATTGCCCAGGGAATGAGCAAGCCTCTGGTCAGCAAAATGTAGCTTTATCCATCTTTTTTCTCCAGAAGAGACTATATCCAGGAGACAGGACAGTGTAAGGCTTTGACAGCACAGGTGTCCAAGCCTCAGCCCTTTATTAGAACTCATAGTGCTAAGTCCATGGTTGAGGAGAGAACTGCCTTGACTCTGAAGGACCTGGGAGCTAGCTTAACATGCTGCAAAGATGTACTCAGTTGCTTTTTTGCCTTTTCCATTTCGACTGTTTTCAAAGAGTCCAGATGACCCGAAATAGGTGACACCCACGAGAATAGACTCTATATATGTAAGCAGAACTTTCTGAAACCTCAGAGTTCATGTTAGATCCCTGATGACTTTGTCATCCAGGTTCCAGTGTTTGCCTCCTGTTTCCCTTCCTAATTTTATCAATTTACTCTCAAATGAACCTCCTTCTAGTTCTTCCCACTCTAGGCATTTTCTCAAGTAGCCTTACCCGAGACCGGTGCACTGGGTTGTCAAAGTCAGTGCCATCTGGAGCCAGGAGCAGCCAGCCACCATAAATGGGTTTAGCCTAGAAGAGAAAAAGGATGGATGGTCATCAGCATCACGGGACCAGAAGATAACAGTGCAGGGCAAGTTGACAAACAGAATATCATCTCCCACTCCCCAACATAAGCTAAGTATCTAGGAACAGGTACCTGATTTAAAAGGTTACAGGATTCCACAGTATGCTTAGGGGAACACAGAACCCAGAGGGCATCTGAAAACCCAAAAAGCAAAAGAACCCTGAAGATACAAGGCTCCCCCTCTCAAGTTTCTTACAAACACACAAAGATGGAAAATGGGCCTGACTGAGCACCAGGAATAGTGTAAATGACAGCCCCAAGCCCTGCTCCTGAAGATGTAAAGCAGAGATTTGACACTGGCCAAAGACTCATCAGTGCCTAGGTGCAGCCAGGGGCAAAGAAGGAAACCTCTGGGCTTCAACTTGCCATGGAGGTGTTGAAAAGCAGAATATCAACAGTTCTAACTCTACCTCATGAAGTTTCTGTGATAATGTAGATAAAAACCAGCACGGAAGCCAGGTGAGATGGTTCATGCCTGTAATTTCAGCACCAGGGAGACTGAGGCAAGAAAATCACCATGAGTTCCAAGTCAGTCTGGGCTGTAGAGTGAAACTGTCTCAACAAAATAAACTAGTAAAGGGAGGCAAAATGGTGCAATTGGGAAATGGCCTGGCAGTTTGGAAGAGGTTGAACATATAGCTACTGTGAGCCTCAGCAACTCCATTGCTAGGTAATAAGCAAGTGAGAGAACTACAAAAATGGAAACCTGCCCTACAGAATTCTAAGAGCACTGCTCCCAATCATCCAAAGGTACTGCAACTAAAATGCCCACAAACATAAATGGTGGAAAGATCTGTAGTCCATCCACACAATGATTGCACAGCATGACACAGACAGAAGTTCTGATGTACACAAAAGGCATGTGAACCTCAAGAGCATTATATAATTGAAGGCAGGCAGACACAAAGGCCTACAAACTATAGAATCCCATTCATGAGAACTATCTGGAACAGGCATATCCACACAACAGCAGGTAGACTGAATGGTTACCCAGGAGCAAGGGGAAAAGGCATGGGGTTTCTTTGGAAAGTGAGATGCAATACTGGAGAATGCTGCAGAGTACTATGAATACGCTAAAGATAGAGAACTCTACAATTTAAAAGGGTTAATTTTATGGCAAGTGAATTATACCTCAATAAAACTACATAAGGAAAAAAACACCAAGCATGATGTCTGGTCTGTAAAACCTCAACAAATGTTAGGCATAGTTACATAGTTATACTTTTACTGCCCAAAACATCTCCCATCAGACCCTGCCAAAAGGAGTACAATGTGCTTATAGGAACGGACATTCTATGGCTCTATATTTTACAACTATATCCAGCTGGTGAGAATAGGTTTCCAAAGGGACAACTGAGCCAATGTACCTTCTGCCATTTGGGGGGCAGTGACAAGAAAATCCAAACCCTCTTCTGCATCCACATGATGATCTCTGAATAAACCATAGGGAAGGGAGGTTCTTAAAATATTTCTTATTCAACATTCTACAAACTGGGAGGCTCCATCAGGCCACACCATTTAGCTATGGAATCTGTGACTCAAGAAAGGGCAACTTGCTTGCTGGAGGGTCACACAGCTTCCACGAAAAGCCAAGAATCCTCCCATTTCTTGGCTTCTTTATAAGAGTCCTTAACAACCCCCCCCCAAAAAAAGAACCAACTATGACTTTTCCCCTGAGGAGAGAAGGTAGAAAGAGATGTGAGTTGGGATAGGGGCAGGCTGCTGGAAGAACCTTGATTTGATGAAATGCAGGAGTTTTGGCAGAAGGCCCAAGAGCTACATGGACACTAGCAATGTCCAGCCAGTGGAACATATTCCCTTCTCCCTGCAAACATGATGAGTGCACACTGTAAGTGGACCATCTACAGCATAGGAAAATCAGAGCTGGGGCAAGATGACTCCCTGAACCCTGTGTATCTTAGCCTCCATCTTTTTTTTTTTTTTTAATTTTTTTTTTTTTTATTAGTTCTAGATAGGGAACAAGCTTATTTCAAGTCCCTTCTCCCTCTCCCTCCCCTCACCCCTTAGCCTCCATCTTGAATGGCCCCCACGTCCCAAACCTGTGAGGTCTGATCAACAGGCTACCGAGTTTGATTATGTGCCATCTTTCTGGTTTGTGGCTGCAGAGCTTTAGGGTTACATTATATTAGGTATATCTATATGACCTTCCCCAAAGGGGACAATGAGTACCTTAGTAATTGGTGTAAATAGCCTCAAAACCCAGGACACCCTGGATCAAGTCCTCACTGGCATTATTATTCACTCAGTGAACTTCTGTCCAGGCCTATTTTGTATGGCTATGTACTGCATATTAAAGACTTACTAGCACTTTCTGGGCCACAGTCACAGATTCTGCTATCTCTAGGAAAGAGCTTCCAGTAGGCAGTCAGGGGAGCAGAGGGCCAGAGTAAGAACCATGGCTCTGGGGCTGGAGAGATAGCTCAGTGGTTAAAAGCACTGGCTGTTCTTTCCAGGGGACCTGGGATCAATTCCCAGCATCCACACGGCAGCTCACAGCTGTCTGTAGCTCCAGTTCCCAGGGACCTGACACCTTTACACAGACATATGTGGGTGAAACACCAATGCACATAAACAAAACAAAACAAAACAAAACAAAACAAAAGAACCATGGCTCTAGAAAGAGCTGGCAGGGAAGCTGGTGTCTGAAACACAAAGGCAAATCTCAAGGGTCACAGAGCAACTTGGACACCTGGAGCTGGGGCTAGCCAAGCTGGAGAGATAGAGAAGGGTATAGAGTGACTATATTGATAACTCCATCTCTACAAATAACCAAAATCACTAAATTGTACACTTTAAACATTTCAATTACATAAATTTTATCTCAATAAAGCCATTTTTGAAAGCATGCAAGGACAATTCTCACATCCTCTTCTAGAATCTACCCAGTGAGTGTCACTCCCCTCCCCCAGCCCCTCTATCTATATATGTCTTTACTACAATCCACCAGATCCAGCCCAGGTCCACAACCAGTGGCCCAGCCTAGTTTAGGTACCCACCAACTGTGTAGGACCCAAGCTCTAGGTTTCTACTGTGTCTGAAATCCCATGTTTCTACCTAATCTAACCACCCTCACTGATGCCAAAGTCAACCTCTAGGTTTCCCCCAGGACTTGCCCTACCTGTAATCACCCACAGGTCCCTCCTGTACTACTTGTAATCACCCCACTTGGCATCCAGACCTCCCCAGGTCCTCTTCCAGGGTTTTGACGGTGAGTCTCTTTGGTATCCCCAAATATACCTTTTCTACAACCTGCCAGATCTAGCCTAGGTCCAACATGCATCAATTTAGTCTGGCCTCCCCTGCCTGTATCGAAAAGGACCTCTAGACTTCAGCCAGGACCCTCCCCACCTATACCCCAAACCACAGGATGCTCCCACACCGTATCATATCTTCTACCTTGCCAGATCTAGACCCATTCTCCAGGCTTGGACCAGGAAGCATATCGGATATACCAGCCCAGTCCCCTCTGACCGCCTGACTACATTCTATCCAAGTCATATCCAATCTCTAGGCCCAAACCACCCATATATCCTCTCATCTGCCCCAAACCTGCTCTGTCCCTAACAAACTAAGAACTAACAAAATCCATCACAAAAACACTAACAATATGAAAGATCAGGCCACTATCCTCTCTCCAAAACCTACAAGTCCTATAGAAATGTTCATCAATGAGAATTATCTGGATGACTTTCGGGATATAGAATTTAAAAGAACAATCATAAACTTCAAAGAATTAAGCTGAAGGTTATCAATTACCAAGAAAACAGAAACACAACTCAGCTGTTAAAAAAAGGCACCATCTTAGAGTAAAAAGATGATTAACAGTACCCCAATATTATGGGACAGGAAGCAAACATCAGTACAATCATAGCTGAGAAAAGAGACTGTAAACTAAAACCAACCAGAAGAGACAAAGAGGGACATTTCATTCTAACCAAGGGAACAGCTAACCAAGATGACATTACTATCCTAAACATATATATATCAAACTCTGAGGCACCCAATTTCATTAAAAAATCTATTATTGGGTTTAGAGATACAGATTAACATTAATAATAAGTACTCCCTTTCAATACCCCACATTCTCCAATAGATGGGCCATCTGGATAAAAACATCAGAATTAATTGATATATCAAATGGAATTAATGGATATCATGGAGATTAAACAACTCATTCCAGAATGATGAATAGGTCAAAGAAGAACCCAAGAAAGAAATAAAAAAAACTTCGTGGAACTAATGAAAATGTAAACACAATACAACAAAACCTCTGGGACATATTGAAAGCAGTCCTATGAGGGAAATTTATAAATCTAAGTGCCTACATTAAAAAATCAGAAAGAGTGCAACTCAAAAGTTGGAGGAACAAAAACCAAATTCAAACCTAGTTGACAGCAAGAAATAATAAATACCTGAAATCAATGAAATAGAAACAAAGAAAACAATACAAAGAAACAATGCATCTAAGAGCTGGAAAACCTAAAAGAATGATTGGATTTCTAGATCCAAACAGACTACAAAAATTAAACCAAAAAGTCAAGAACCTAAACAGACCCACAACAAATGAGTACAATGAAATAGTAATAAAAGCCTTCCTGTTTAAAAGAAAAAAGTCCTAAGGCCAGACAGAATCACAGCAGAATTCTAGACTTTCAGAGATTTACAGCTAATGTTTCTTTTCTTTTTCTTTTGTGTGTGTGGGGGGTTTCAAGACAGGGTTTCTGTGTGTAGCTTTGAAGCCTATCCTGGCACTCGCTCTGGAGACCAGGCTGGCCTCAAACTCACAGAGATCCGCCTGCCTCTGCGACCCAGTGCTGGGATTAAAGGCATGCGACACCAACGCCCGGCACAGCTAATGTTTCTTATAATATTTTTTTAAAAAAAAAAAAAAAAAAAAAAAAAAAAAAAAAAAAAGAATAGAAACATAAAGAACACTCCTAAATGCCTTCTATAAAGCCAGTTATCACTCTAATGCCTAAACCAGGAAAAAAAAATGTAACAAAAAATTACAGGCTACTAACTCCAATAAATTAAAAATAATAAATAACTTTTTCAAACAGAATACAGACATACATCAACAAGATTATCCACCATGATCAAGTTGGTTTTATCCTTGAAATGTAGGGATGGTTGAACATAAACAAGTCAATAGATGCATTAAACCACATAAATAGGTTTTAAAGACAAAATTCACACAATCACTTCAACAGATGTAGAAAAAGCCTTCGACAAAATCCAACAAGCTTTCATGATAAAAGTTCTAAAGAATGTAGGGCTACAGAACATATCTCAACACAATAAAAGCGTAACACACATACAGCCAACATCATCCTAAATGGAGAAAGGCTTGAAGCAATCCCACTGAAGTCAGGAATGAGACAGGGATGTCTACTTTTCCCCACTCCTTTTCAATATTGTGCTTGAAGTGCAATAAGGCAAAATAATGAAATTAAAGGCAGACACTTAAGGAAAGAAGTCAGTCTATCCCCATTTGCAGTATGATACTACTATGCATTAGAGATCTCAAAATTCTACCAGAAATCTTCTAAAATTAATAAAGAAACTCAACAACATGGATGGATATTGAACAAATCAACAGCTTTTCTATACACCACAAGAAACATACAGAGGAGGAGATCATGGGCACATACCCATTCACAATAGTCTCAAAGAAAATAAAATAATAAACCTAACTAAGGAAAAGAAGGATCTCTACAATTAAAACTTTTAAAAATCTGAAGAGACAAAAACACTAGAAAATGGAAAAGACATTCCATCTCATGAATCAATAGGAATGACATCATGAAAATGACAATTTTATCATATGCTATTCTCAAATTCAATGCAATCACAATCAAAATCCCCATCTCATTCTTCAAAAAACAACAACAAAACCTAACCTAAAATCCATATGGAACCACAAAAGACCCCAGATAGCCGAAACAATCCAAAGCAAAAAGAACAATGCTGGAGGAATTGGCATTCCAGATTTTAAGATATATATCACAGATCCACAGTAATAAAAAGAATATGGTATCGGCACAAACACAGCCATATAGACCAACAAAAAAAAAATCGAAGACGCAAGCAAGAGAACACCCAATTTCAGTCACTTAATATTTGACAAGGATACCAAAAACATAGGCTAGAAAAGAGAAAACATCTTCAACAAATGCTTCTGGGAAAATTGGATGTCAACATACAGAAGAATGAAGTTAGGTCTGTGTCTACCACCTGAACAAAAACTCAGTAACTCCTGAAACCGAACAGCTAGAAGAAAACACAGGCAATACTCTAATGATATAGGTGTAGCAAAGGGCTTTCTAAACAGAACCCCATTAACTAAAGAATTAAGGCTAACAATTGACAAACGGGATTTCATAAGACTAAAAAGCTTCTGCAAAACTAAAAGAACAATCAACAGGGTGAAAGGAATCACATAAAATGAAGAATATTTGCCAGCTATAAATCTGACAGAGAACATCCAGACTATATAAAGAACTTGCAGAGAGGGAGGGAGGGAGGGAGGGAGGGAGGAAGGAAGGGAGGAAGGGAGGAAGGAAAGAGTTAAATAAACAACCAAAATCAACTCTTTAGAAAAATGGGCCAAGCATGGTGTCATACACTCTTAATCCCCACACTCAGGAGGCAGGCAGGCCAATGTCTGAGTTTGAGGCCAGCCTGGTCTACAAAGTAAGTTCTAGGACAGCCAAGGTTACACAGAAAAACCCCATTTCAAAAGCCAAACAAACAAAAACCCAACAAAAATAAAGAAGGGAGGGAGGATGTCCTTCTGTATGCTGTGAATATGTTTCTCTTATTGGTTGATGAATAAAGCTGTTTCAGCCAATGGATAGGCAGGATGTAGCCAGGCAGGAAGTATAGGCAGGGCTACCAGACTAGGAGAATGCTGGGAAGAGGAACACAGAGAGTGCGTTGTGAGCGAGACGCCATGCAGCTGCTGAGGGAGCAAGAGGTCCAGGCATCACCAGTAAGCAAAGACCATGTGGAGATACACAGATTAATAATTAGGAGAGAGCAAGCCAATAAGAAGCATGAGTCATAGGCCAAACAGTTTATAATTAATATAAGCCTCTGTGTGTTTATTTGGGACCCAGTGGGACAGAAACTTCTTAGTAATCAAGGAAAGAAGGAAGAAAGGAAGGAGGGAGGGATGAAGTGAAGAAGGAAGGAAGAATAGAAGGTAGGGAGGGAGGGAGTTCTCAGAAGAAAAAAAATGGTTGACAAATATCTCAAAAAATGTTTACCTTCCCTACCTCAAAAAATGTTCATCTTCCCCAGCAATTAGGAAAATGCAAATCAAAACAACTTTGAGATTTCATTTTACTCTAGTCAGAATGGCAATGATCAATAACAAATGCTGGAGTGGATGTGTAAAAAAGGGAACCCCTATTCACTCACCACTGTTGGGATTGCAAACTAGTGCAAGCCACTATGGAAATCAGTATTGTAAATTCTCAAAAAGCTAAAAGTAAATCTGCCATATGACCCTAACATACCACTCCTTAGCATATATGCCTGAAGGACTCAGCATCCTACTCCATTTCAGAATATTCACTGCTGCCCTATTCACAAAAGCTAGAATACAAAAACAAAGGAAACTTCCTTCACCTCATGAATTGATAATGAAAATATGGTACTACTACTACTCATTTGTAAAGAAATGAAAACATGAACTTTATAGATAAATGGATAGAACCAGAAAAGATCATATTGAGTAAAATATTCCAGACCCAGAAAGACGCATACTTTATGTTCTCTTTTATGGGGGCTCACAGCTTTAAATCTTCGTATGTGGGTGCACAGCTGGCAGTAATTGCTGAAACCAGGAAAGGAAAGTGGGACCACTGCCAGGAAAGGGGCTCAGCTACAATAGGGAGGGAAACAGCAGAATTTGAGTCTTCTGATCTGGGAGATGGAAGTGAGGGCATATGGTGATATTTTGTTTATAATCTAACAAATAATGCTTGCTTGAAGATCAGAGTGCAAAGCCATCCACACTAGTCAGCCATACAGGCCAGGCAGTGATGGTACACACCTTTAATCCCAGCAACCATACTAGTTAGCCACAGAACCTGGGCATCAGTGGTGCACACCTTTAATCCCAGCACTAGAGAGGAATGTTAAGCAAGTGGAGACAGGACGACAATGTATTCAGTATGCAGTCATGATGAAGACAGGATCTCCCTAGCCTTGGTAGAGGTAAGAATTCTCTAGTGGTTGGCTGCTTTGCTTTTCTAATCTTCAGCTTGAACCCCAATATCTGTCTCGGGTTTTTATTATTTGTGCTACAGGGGCACTTTAAGGAGGGAGAGGGAGGTAAATGTAGAGAAGAGTAAAGGGGGATAATGGGGTACAGTGATCTGATATGGGAAAGGGGGACTCTTTAGAGAGAGGGGAGGAAGGCTAATACAGAAGGA